TAAAACTTACCGTGCTACAGAGCAGACCTTAACCTTTGTTAGATTCTGTTTGGCAGTTCACACCTTAGCGTCTGGTATTTCAGCCACCCCAAAGCATTATCCTTCAAAGTATTCTGGGTCAATTCCCGTAAAACAAAGCTATCCAGCAATTAGAATAACTGGGAAGCCCGGGCTCCATTGCCCAGGTCTGTCACTGTGCGATAATAAGACCTTTCCTAAGCAAGTTTAAAAAAAAAAAAAGAAAAAATTCAGAAAATTTTCCAAAGCTGTAGAACAGTTTACAGCACATCCCTTCACAAGGAAACTTCTGAAGGGCTGCTGAAAGATGCTCCCTGCATACATGCTTATGTCGTGATGTCACGTTTTCTAGAGTTGCAGATGGTTCGATACAAGCTCAGTGCAAGTACAGGGCCTTTTCCAGGGAGCTGCAAGGCCAGGTAAGTGCTCTGCAGACCCTTGGTTTTATTCATGGCCTTGCTTTGTCATAAGATATGTGGAGATATTCTACACAAGGGAACTAGTCAGACGAAAGGAAAAAAAGAGGCTATGGGAATACTGCCATCTTTTTAACTGTGCAAACCAAGTGGCAGAGAGATCAGAACAGGGGATGACAATAATCTTAAAAATTCTGATATCCCCACTAATTTGAAATCTAAAATCTAGACAGCTTCAAAGACAAAAAGTGCCAACTTAATTAAGTATCTTGACTTTCACCTGCAAAAGTGTTTCTTTGCCAGCTCTGAAGTTTTTAAGCCCCAACCAAGCGCGTAGTTTGAACACCTCAAATTTGGGATTAAAAGCAAATTAAGTCAGCAAGAAAGGAAGGACCTTTCTGTTTGTGGGGCAGAACAGAATGCACTGACTCCTGTCTGTAGAACAAGGAAGCTCCTAAGGTACCATGATCAGAAGTGTTTCCGGGATTCCTAAGTCACTGACCACCTTCCAGGCAGCTTGCCAGCAGAAACAGTTACCACTTCCCACTAGAAACCAACTCCTGTGGATAGAGTTGCCAGCACCCCTGATATTCAAGATGACCTTGGAGGTAAATTGTGCATTTTAATTCTCAGGATCTTTTAAGTCTTGTGCTGGATTGACACACTCCTTGAAAGAAAACCAACACATTTCATCATATCAAGTTTTTATCTGTCCCCAACAAAAACAATACCTTCTGAGAACTACTTTGGTTTGAAAATTACGCATTGCAATACACACTTACCAGAAGAACAAAAAAGAAGTGACATCTTTATTTCACTGAAACGTAGGTCAAAACAGACAGCAAGATTTACAGACGAACAAACAAACAGAAAAATCAAATCCCATAACTAAATAAATGCTGCTTCGTATGATTACAGATTTAGTTTTGCTGTCAGGGACTTCTTCACGAGTTACTGTCCTAAGGACTAGCACACTGGCACACTTTCTGCCAGCAAACCATGTTCAACACAGAAGCAAAGGAGAGGGTTCTTCTAAGGCCCAGACCTGATCTCAGGCAGCCCGTGTCCTTCAGGAATCGCTTTTCCAGGCCCAAAGTCCGGGCAGGTCATTTAGACACTCCAACCTTTAAGTGTGCTACTGTTCAGCATACCTTAGCCACAGACAGGAGCGCCTGCTTCCACCCTGACTGGCAGCAGTGACCTTCTCATGTTGCTACGTGGGAGGCAAGCGGACAACGTGGTGCAGGTCAGAAGGCCCCAAGAGAACACAACCTTTCACGTGCTAGGCTAAAAACATTTCAAATTTCTGTTTTAGTTTCAGAACCAAGTGACTGGAAGTTTCAGCAGCTGTCATTTGCTTTTCATTCCAAATACAAATGCAGAGCTAGCTGAAGCTCCTTGCCGACACTGTAGCAGGCTGAGAACATGTCTATTCCTCACCTGTGAGCAGATCACAAGCTACAATTACCATGTCGTATAGAGGATGCCCATTTCTCTTTAAAGGAATAGAAGCATTGGACCATATAACATACATATGCAGGACATGAAAGAGAAATACAAGGTCAAGCCTTCAACTAGACTGCAATAGGTCCTGTAATTTAGATTTATGCATACCACAGCCAAGGCTGTAACTAACATTCTTCTGTTCTAGACAAATATATATTGAAGTGACATGAGGTCCTACAGTCACGAAGTAAATCTGAGCTATATAAGCTGATCTATGAGCAGTAAATCTGTGAGCAGTATAATTTTGTCCATCCTCCATCTCTCTTTTTCCCAACCATTACAGTAATCTTTTCCCCTAGAAAACACCTGCCAGGAGAAAAGCAACATGCACAGTGGCATTAGAACAGAAGAGCCGAGTTCCCTCTGCCTTTCCTGTCCCTGCTGGGCTTGAGAACAAGGGTGGAAGGGTGAGAGCGCGTGCTGATTTTTGCTATTTCTCTATGCGTTCTGTATGCAGCTGTTGAATTTTCACCAAGCTTTACTGGAATTCTGCATTCTCACACAGTTGACTGCATTTGTACATCAGCGCAAAGCAGACTGCTGATCTTTAGAGATAGGTGAAACACGTAACTGTCTTCTATTTCCAGGGAAGCCTTTAACACAATTTCTTTGCCTTTAAAAAAAAAGAAAAAATCTGAAAGGGTAAGGTAGGCCTCTCTATAACAGCACAACTGAGTAACCTGAAAATCAAGGCAGTTCAAATCTCATTATTCCCCAGGATATGATTTTCCCCCCACCCAGAGGAGGGAATAGGGACCAAGGAGAAATGACAAGCACAGACCTAATGTAGCAACTCTGACCAAAGCACTGGTTGAGAAAATGTTGTAACTCTGTACTGCAGTGTGATTACAGCATTGAAAACATCTGAGCAGCTGCAGCCACATAACCAGTTGAAGGTTTCTCTCTAAGACCGTTTTAATTTGATACAAAAAGTATGGCACCATAAATCTCTTAGCCCCATTGAATAACAGCATGTCAAAGAGAGCACATAATCAAAATTAACATACAAATGAAACAGCGGGAGGCAGTTCTTCTAAGGCCTATCCAGCTAGGGGTTTTTTTATGAACACTGCTTTGTTTGTATTTAGTACTGATGCAAGAGAAAGTAAGTCAGCTAAACTGAAATTACATGAAACACTTAATAGCATTTAACAAAAAAAAAAAGGCTGAAGTGTACAATACAAACAGAATACAAGAAAAGAGACAGAACAAGTAGAACACTTGACAAGATAAAAATACACTTATATGAAACTACATTAGTACAGCTCAATATACACAGAATAAGAGCACTTATTAGGAAACAAGTTGAATAAGCTTTAGAAACTCTTTCAACACATACTGGTCCATTGCAAAGTTTAATCCCAAACACAGGAAAGCACACCTCACCATTTTCTCCCTTTTTAGAAAGCAGCCTCGTTTGTTTCACAAGTTAAGTCTCAAGTAATTTGATTTTCCAACAGGTCTGAAAAGAAAATACTGGGAAGGAGTAGGGACAGTTGAGGCCAGCTGATAATGCTTTTGAGTCTTTTTAAGGAAAATTGTTACCACCTTCTTTGGTATTATATGCTAATTAAGCTTCCTGCCTAACTATAAAAGCTTTTCATTATTTACTAATGAAACATGAATGACAGTAACTCCTCAGCAGGAGTTTATGTTATGTAGCTTAAGCATTACATACAAGATAAATACCTTGAGGCGCTTATTCAGCTAGTATTGGTTGATCAAAATCAACACCACAAGCAGCCAAGTTGCTCGGGTAACGTCCAGGGCTTCCCTGTACTGTGAAGTGTCAGCCACAACAGCTTTGTACTACACTCAGTGACAGATGAGCCCAGAAGTCATTTTCAGACCTGCCAAAAGTGAAATATATTGAGAATGCTAACAACTTCAGGTGAGAGTGCTACTGAAAATAATTAAACGTAGATTAAGGTATTCAGAGAAAACCAACCTCCACCCTAGACAACACAAGATAGAGTTGGTAAACTTGAAAGCGTAAGACACTGATCATCTTGTGAAAATCAAGATTACTGTTGAAGAAATGTATGTTCTATATTCACAGAACATACTTTGTATTTGGCAGCAAATTAGAAGCCTGTAAAAAAAGGAAATTAAAAAACAAAACACAGGAATTCATTACAAGGGATTTAAAAAAATCTGTACCATGCGGAGCTCTCCAAGTATCTAATACACTAGTTTAATACAGTATTTCCACAGAGGAAAAAAATTGTTTTTAAATATAATAAAATCAGAATGACAGCATAATATGTGAATGTTACACTCTTCAAGATTGTCAGAACTTCCTGATAGGTAAAGAGCTAGTCACAGGTAGGATGTAAATCACCCTGGTTATTATCCATCCCTTCTTTCCGGCATTTCAACATGCTAAGTTGGTAGTAATCAAAATGCTGGTAATTTCCTGCATGAACACAAGGAAAATGCCATGCTTGCAAAGAGAAATATCAATGGAACTACTGCAGTGAAGTTAGAAGAAAAAATCGCGTCTGCATAAGGTCTACCTCAAATGCACCTCTTCATATTTAAGGAATATAGTCTGAATTTTGAAAATAGTAAGTGAACACAGACAAAAGGGTACTAGCATTCACTGAATCTCAAAATACTATCTGGAATACTGTCTCTATGAAGTATCATCTCTGCCTTTGCATTTACGCTGTATGTAGCAAATTCTGAGTGTACCTATAACATAAATGCTATCACTAACCTCCATTTAACAAGCAGAGAAGGAAAACAGAAAGAACTAGAAAGCAAGTGGCATGCAAAAAAACCCCTCCCCCTAGGATTAAGTTTCAGCAATGCTGTGGTTTGAGAACTGATGCTGCAGGTGTTTATCCTCAACAACTGTGTCAAGCCTGTTATGCTGCCTTCTCCCATCTAATGTTATTACAGTAGAATAATGGGAAAAAAAGGCCACACAAAAACCTACCACCAACCAAGGAAAAAACAAAACAAAACAAAACTGAAAACTACTCACACAGCTGCTCCCCTTGACATTTATTTTCAGCTATCTTGCTCTAAGGCATTGTAACAAAAAGGCCTTACCCATAAAATATCAATTATTTAATAAAGGCTAAGGTGAAACTTTGAATGAATACAATGCAGTTCTTTCAAGAGAAATACAGAGCTATAGTTCACGACTTTTCCCTGTCTGAAGTATCACAGTTAAACTGAATGTTTATAGGCATAACTCTTATACTCCAAGACTATATAGTGTTCCCTTAATAGTAGACCCGCAAATTAACTATTACAAAAAGACAGCCTGCAGAAGAGGGCATAAACCCTACTGGTAAGCATAGATAAGAGAGCTCCATCTGCACTTTGAGGCCCTATGTTTAGAAGTTTTCTTCCTTATGCAGTACCTCGAGCACACCATCAGGGTGTGCCTTCCACTTTTCAACTGTAACAGTACTTAAGAACAATACAGTAATTTATCTGAAATCTGTTTATTATGCTTCATGTTATTCACTATTTTTGGTAACAGTAACTTTAGTAAACACTTAAGTTGTATTTTGCCCTACACAGATCGTTTCAGACATAAGATACAAGAATGCTACAGCAAAATGACAATACTGAGAAGTGTCAAAGATATGGGAAACTGAGGTTTTACCATATAGGACAATAGTAATAAAAATGAATCAACATTTCAGTACAAAAGTGTAGGAAGCCTGTGAAAAAAGGTTTAAGTGGTGAAGGAGAGGTTCTGAACACAACAGCAGCACTCCTTCACATTTTGGACTGTCTGTGCAAATGCAGCATTAATAAAGTACCTGTCTTTATGAAACAGAGGTAAGGAAACAGCAGATAAAGCTCAGTTCCTACAGTGATAGTCACAGGCCTGGCATCACCTTGTTAAGAACAGGGTTTCTGCTACTCATGGAAAAGAGTCAGGTGTAGAGTTCTTGCACCTATGCTACTCTGCAGCTTATGCTAGTGTTGCCAGCTTGTCAATTAAATCATCAACAGTATTCACAAGAAGCTTTGTATCCTCCTTCTCACTCATCCGATGTTGGCCAATTTTGCGGAGGATAACATCCACATCTTTGCTCAGAACACGATCAGCAACTTGCATAGAGATCTGCCAAGGGACATCACCATCCTTCATGCCATGAATGAGTCGTATGGGACATGTTATAGGAATAGGACTATTTAACACACAGTGATTTTCTGCTTCTCTGATAAAGTCATATGTCAAGGAGTAGTATCCTTCCTCATTATACTTTGTTGGAAATTTCCATTCACCTTTTTCTTCTATTTCTTTTTGTGCCTAAAAAAAAAATATATAAAAAAGAGAACAAAGAATAGACAAGACCGATGTTACAAGTTCTTTAGAGTGCCTCAGCTTATTTCTCTTCTAAATGCAGTAAAACTTTCCCAGGCATAAAATTTCACTTTGTTCATTTTTATTAGCAGAGAAGGTATATTCCTGTTCGCCCTCCAGCATCTGAGAAGACAAACCCCTACCATGTCACAAAAGCTACTCTGCATGTCTCTCCTGCAAGTTAATCTAGTTAGGATTCACCAGTGAAATTAAGTTTCTTAGCCAGAATCTATCAGAAAGAAAAAGAGAGCTACCACAAACAGTAAGTCTCTTCGGATTCAATCAGTTACACTGTATTTCCAGAATCCTACCTTAGGCTGAAGTAGTAATAACGACACTATGAAGTGCCTTAGGTAAAAAAAAAAAAATCCACCAGGAAAACATTTTTAATTATTCTAAGGTATGAGTTATTTATTGCCATATTTGTTTGTTGCATTATAACATCTGATTTACTGTCCTGAAGACTGGACATTATCATCATCAAAGAAGCAACTCACAAGACCTCCCACCACCTAAATCTTATAGTCTTTACACACACAATAATCTGAAGAATTCCCTTTCTGCACACACAACCTGTGTCAGGCTCATCTCATCCAATGCCATCTCAATTACTTTGGCAGCTACTTCTCCATTCCTGAAAGCACAGGGATCCAATTTGAATGCAAATATAAGATATTCAACGCTGAAATCTAATGGACTGCTAAACACCAGGGATCTGCCTTCATATCTTATATGCCATAGTGATAATATAGACACATTCTAGGTAGTGCTCACACTAGCTTCACACTAGCAGCATTGTATTTTGCAGACTGTTAATGTAAAATTTCAGCTTACCTCCACCACATACACAGAAAACTTACCAGAAAACTTTCAGGAAAACCACAGTTTGAACAACAGAATTTCTTAAATGCTTGATAAATTATTAGATTGCACAAAAGCCAACCATCAACATTTACCTCAATGGGAAGTTTCTTAAAAGTTGTTACAACATGGTCTGCTGCTACAGCTACTCCAACCAGAGCAGCTACTCTATCTGGGCGTGCTATTGCAGCATGAAACATCAGCCATCCACCCAAGCTGGAGCCCACCAGAATCTGGAAAAGAGAGAAAAGATGATACTATTTTACAGGAAACCTATTTTTTTTTTTCTTTTACAAAGTATCAGTTCTCATTTTGTTTAGCTACTTAAACCTTGGGCATAATCCTGCTGTCCTTACCCAGGCAGAACTGCTGTCACCTCCGGTGGAAATTTTGCCTGAGTAAGCACCACAGAATCTGGTATTTTATTATTCTTTTTGTTTGGCATGGCTGGTTATTGCTGTCTGAGACTGAAACACTGCAAACAAAATAAGAGTTGAAACAATTCAGTATCACATGCATACTTTACGCTTCCTTCTTAAAATAAATGCACATGGTAAAGGTTCATTGCAGTGAAAAAGGTCAACAAAAGCAATTCATAATGCAAAATGGTTTTAAACACAATACTAGGTATTTCCAGGTTGCAGGAGATTTCAATTTTCTCATAGTCATTTCTGAAGTAACTGAAGAAGTCAAATGCTGCTTCTGATTTTTATTGTTTTTAAGCTATTTTATCACATATTGTATCTTAACTTGTAACATTTCTGCAAATCCTTTAATTAATGCATCAGCATTGGGCCAGTGACACACTTTTTCATGAAGAGGGCTGTGCTGCACTGGAACAGGTCCCTGTCCCCTGCCAGGTGGGATCTCCTCCACCAAGAGGCTTTCTCAGACTCCCTGGGACAACAGCCCTGCTCTGAGCAGGAGGCTGTAATAAACGACCTCTAGGAGGTCCTGCCCACCCATGTTTCTATCACTTTGTGACCTACCTGCTTGCAAAAGCGGTCTTACAAATATGACCTCTCCAATGATTCAGCTTGAAAGCGAGCAGGTGTCAGATGTTAAGTAGAAGCTACTGTTGACCAGAGCTATTATGGCGTATTTTTGATTAATGCTCTATCTTGAGAACAAAAAGCATTCTATGTTTAAAAATAAAGTATAACCTGTGGTCCATCTGTAAGTTCATCCAGTATAGACAGAACATCTTTTCTCCACTTCCCAATTGTACACTCCTCAAATTTACCATCTGAACTTCCACATCCTGTATAATCAAATCTGAAAAAGTAACCACCAAAATGAAAGTCACACTACTGTCTACAGCATCATAGAAGCTAACAGTAATGTTTAATCAAATTAAACAAGGGACAAAATACAGTACTGAATATCTTCTTACTTGGTCCTGCATATTACTAGCCCCAGGAAGGAATCACATGAAATAAGGTTTAAACACACCACATGGAACTAAGTGATGCAGTGTTCTCTTATCATTTGATGTAACAGTATCCAAATTTACCACAATACTTCCCAAAGAATTTGGTCCCTTACAGACAAGAAACCCCAAATACCTCAGTCTTAAAGCTATTTTTATAGTTTACAAACTCTCTCTCAAACACTATACTCAAATACAAAGACTTATGAATCTCAGCATTCAACTTAGCCTATGAAAGTATCACCTAGCATGTGCATGTTCTAAAACCATAGAAGACCCTTAGTAACTCAGTAAGATTTGGCAGTTAAGAAGCATGCTTACAGTGGTAACTTCAAAAATTAAAACGTCAAGTCCTTTCTTTTTCATTTCCGTGCCTAAAGGCTTAATGTAACACATAGCACTGGCTAGACAACATAAATTTATCAAAGATTTTTCTGAATTACTTTCAGAGTACATTCTCCTGATTTACCTTAGTCCCATTACAGACAGAAATCCTACATCTGAAATGGAAGACAGACACTTCTTCACTTGTGTACAGCACAGCATGCATTCCAACCCAAATACCAAATCTTACATATTTTTGTTAAAAATCCTTCCCCCGACTCATGATACTAGTTTCATTTTCTCAAGAAAAATACTCTGAATGTACCTTATGAAGGCATGACCTAGAGAGTTGCAGAAATCTTCAAGGGCAGTTGCTTTCTGACCATTCATATTTGAATTAAAGCCTGGAAGGAAAATAATCCCTGGATTCCTGCCTTTCAGTTTATGATAAGCAAGATTTGGTCGATCTGGTCGAGTTAGAAAGCTGACCGATGATTTCAGTCTGCAAACTAATAAAAAGAACTACTTAGTACAATCATAATGATATCCTTGGTAGAAATACTAATATCTTATAAAACTAGGATTCAGGAAATACGGGCATATTATGTGAAAATAAGATACTTCAGCTCAAAAGAAGAGGAAAAAAGTATCTCCTGTATTCTTTAATGACTGACTAGTATTGATCAACCTGAAAGGGAAAACTGCTTGTGATTAATTCTCAAAACATTAAATGCCAACCATCTAAGTTCACTCAGCAATTAGCAAAGTGGTTGACTGAAGCCAAACGCAAAGATTTCCTATACTTCATTTGTCCTCATGTTTCATACCATCTTGAATATATTTACTCATTCCACATGAAATAAGATTTTTCATCTGCTTACTTTAATTTTTCAATTTTGTTTTTTCCAGACTGAATTTAAAATCGTATCATCAACAGCTATTTCTGCTTAACTTAAAAGATTATTGTCAGAAACACTGGAAAAAAAGGCTCATTTTAACACTATGCCATCTTGACATCAGTCTTTTTCTGATATGAAGCACAGAAGGTAAACAACAAAATAAAGCTACATTTTCTGTAAATACGGACCAATACATTAAACACATCCCATAAGAAGAAACAGTTGACCACTGTAGAACTATGATTTTCTTATGCATCTCCAAAAGAGGCACAGATATCCCATTACACAGTTTGACGTATTCTTGCCGGAGATGCTACATTATCCCAACATTCAGATTGTTCTGTTTATCCAGAATGAAATAGCACTTTGCAAACCTAAATATTTCAAAAATATTTTTTAAAAAAATGAAAGATTGTTTCACACAATTTCTGTCAAAGTGACCTGCAACATAATGAGACAGAAGTTTTCCTATCAGCATAAACTTATTTTGTCTCGTTTTAGCTCAAGATAACAAACCAGTCACATTTGAAAAGCAAACGCTAGGTTGGACTCTGTTATTAATAGCCATCAAAAAATTGGTTTCAATCAAGGAAATGAGATTAACAAAGGAAATGCTAACTAACGAATAACTACGTTGAATTTCACAACTGCTACAGTATTTAATACAAATTTAGCAGTCAACTGTACCGTTGCTGTGGGTGAGGGCAAGTGACTCACAGAGAGGTGCTATGGAAACTTAATCCACTCTATTATCCCACTGAGCAAGATAATTTGTTAAACTGAAACCTTGGTCGAGACTTCTCAGGTGTTGATACTCTTAATTCTTAGATTAGAAGATGTCTGGTCCATCAATACTGTAAATCACTGGTGGGCTACAAAAACTATGCAACCCCAAATACATCGGGGCTTCCTAGCGATACAAGAATTGGATAAATACTGCAAACAGAGCCCATGACAGTATCGTATCACCTAACTGTTCCACAGCTTTGAGTTCTGTTTTCTCACTACCAGAGAGATTCCAGTCAAGGGCTTTGTCTGTTTGTTTCAATAATGCACGTGCATGAGTAAATGTGGATGCATAATAGATGCAGGATGCAGCTAGTATTCAGCGCTTTTCTACAGTCTAACAGAAATGATACCATTTGAACTGTAGATTAAAACTGTTAAGATCTTTCCTGAAATGATGGGACAGTTCTTTATCCTGATGATGCATCAATTTATATAAAGAGGAATAAATGCCACAGTAAAGGTATATTTGTTCAGATGCACTCATACTATGGCTATTGGTTTGTGTGTGTATCAGTAAGGCAGTCACTTCTTCACCAGTCAGTAACAGAGGAGGTACTCCTAATTCTTTTTCTATCAAGTTTATCACTTCTTGCTGTATTTTTATCCCCATTAAGCCCTAATAACCATCTCTGAAGTCACTGGTTTTCCGTCCTGCAGCACTCTGGAGATGCCCTCAAACCATTTTCACACTGGGCAGGCTTTGAACTGCAGCTACAAGACACAACCGCTATCTAAGCTAGTCCACAGACTAGTATCCCACGTTTAACAAGTTACTGGAAGCGCACCAGCAGCAATCCTATCCTTAATAATGCCAAACTCTAAAGCAACCACCCCAGCCAATCCAAAAGCACAGCTAACTGGAGTCATGATCTGATTTCCCTTTAGACAGTCTAAACCATCAATAACTGAACAGCTACCCAGTAATTTCTCCTGTTTTCAGTGAAAGACCTTGGTAAGAGCAAGGAAGCACTTCTGAAGGGTGCAAGGTGGTACTTCGTATTCATAAAATCAAGTTACAGACTGCAGGAGCTACCTACAGGAAGGCCACAGGACCCCTGCCAGATGCTAAGGAACTTTTCATACCAGGATCACAGTGAAATTTTAAACGTGTTATGACCAACTGAAGCTGTGATCGAGACCAGTGCTAGGTGTCAAAGCAAAAGAAGTCCCCAAAGAAGTCCTCTGAACAACCTTGGGACTGCTCCAGCACTGTGACCTACCCACGGTGAACAGCAGCAGATTAATGCAGCTCTGGTAGATAATGGACTCAACACTGTCCACACCTTGTTTCATGCAGTTTCTTACACCACAGGGGTAAGAAGGCCAGCAGCTCTGCCAGCAGGAACTAGCGCTTAGCCCAGCCCCAGAGCACCTAATGGCACACTCAACAACCAGCTAATCTGATCACACTGCCACTCTAAACACACAATGAAAGAACATCAATAAAACCCCACTGTATTAATATTTATATGCAGAAACAAAATGTGCACCCTTAGTTGCAAATAAGTTTTACTCAATTCTACACCGAGCAACCTCAGACTGGTTTAATACATCATCAAGAAGAGCAGTTAGTTGTCTGTCAAACTGAAGGCAATAAATCAACCCAACAAATCAGACAAGCACTTAGTCTGATACCGCAAGAAGGGGCACTATGTGTTTGGGCAGAGGTTCATCTCGCTCAGAAGCGGAGGGCAGCAAAGCTTTTCAGGCCCCCGGTGGAGCCTCGCACAGAGGCACGCTTCACACCCCAGGAAGCAAAGCGGCCCAGTTCCTCGCAAAGCGGCGGCGGCAGGAGGAGCTTACAGCGAAATAAACACGCGTGGGAAAGCTGCTGCTCCGCAGACACGCGCAGGTTGGCGCGGGACCCGCCCTACCCCGTGCACATACACCGACAAACTGCCCCCCCCGCGCCCCGCTGGCTCGGAAAAATCTGTCAGAAGCCCCGTCCTTCGGAGAGGAGCGGAGGTTAACTTACCCCACCCCCACCGGGTCCCCGCCCTGGCCGCTCCCGGTCGAGCCGGGGAGGGAAGGAGCGGGTGTCACCTCCGGCTGCCCGCCCCGCGCCCTGCCGAGAGCAAATATCCCCCCCGGCCATTAAGCACAGCCGCCGCGGACCCGAGCCATCTCCCCTCAGACTGACCGACTGACACCTCCTTCCCCCCCCGGGGCTCCCCGTCCGGCGGCGGAGGAGCAGCAGCACCGCCGGAACGCCGGCAGAAGGGCCCGGGGGCCTGTCCCTTACCCGGGAGCCCCAGAGCCGCCCTCAGGGGCGGCAGCAACACCCCCGCGGCCGAGGCAGGACGACGGCCGCCGCTGCCGCCCCGCACCAAGCCCCGCAGGGCGCCCACCGCCGCCATGGCCTCCGCGCGCCGCCCCCGCCCCTCGCGGCGGGCGCACGCCACACCCGCTGCGCACGCGCCACCTGCGCGGGGTGGGAGGGGGCGGGGAGCGGCGCGGGGGCCGCGCGCATGCGCCTCACCACCTCCCGCCTGCCCGGGCTGGCGCGGCGTGGCGCCGCCCCACGCGGGAGCAGCGCGGTCGGCGGGCGCGGGGCAGGCGGGTGACTTGGACGCCCTGCGCTCGTCTGAGAAGTAGAAAGCAAGGTTTTGGCCGTAAAGAGAGTTAATGAGCACTTCCCTCGGTGCTCGTGGAGACGGGTCCCTCCTTGAAGCAGACAAGGAGGGCAAGGCCCGCTCTGGGAACCCCTGTACGCGAGGGTACATAGATATGTATGCATGTGGGTATAAAGTAACGAGGTATATATCATCATATACATAATACAACGCACCTAATTACCTGGCCGTCACAGCCGGCCAGAAGGGACGTTCCGAAACCCCTTGTCCACCCCTGGGTTCCGTCTCCAGCGGCACCGGGGCTCGGGCACTTCAGGGCCCGCAGGGCCTCCGAACCCACACGGGCCTCCGAACCCATCTCTGCTCAGCCTGACCTGCGTGGGCACGGCCGCCAAAACAAGGTCTTTATGCGCCGTACCTTCTGCATACAGGCCCTGGCAGGCACCCAGAAAGGAGGAGACCAAGGCGAGGAAAGGTCCGTGCCTGCGAAGGGAAGGGCGTTTTCCCAGGGAAGTGCCAGGCCAGCCCCAGCAGCTGCTGTAGGTCGAGGGAGACGGCGGCTGAGGTTTTTTCAAACGCAGCCTACACAGCCTGCAATCACCTGATTATTCCGAGTAAGTGGGTAGTTGGCTCCTCTGAGGGTAAGCGTGGAGGGCTTGCAGACTGATCATAGAAGATGGTGCCTAGTGCCCTGCTTTGCTTACCTGGTCTTGATTGATGTCCACCACGCTATGTGCTGATGATAGCAGACTTAGTGAGAAAAATACCCTGAAACTGCGTGGGCTTCTACAATGACCTAATGGTTCCTGCAATTCAAGTTATGTTTAAGTCAAATGTGAAATGAGAAAGGTAATACGTACATGTGGTAAATAGACTACGCTCCTCATTTCACTGCCGTCTGAAAGATTATTTTCCATAATTCGTTTATGGTCAAACACATGGAGTGGTTAGATTAATCATTACTAAGAAATACAAAATTGCTTGCACAACTGTATACAACTACTTAAAAGACAACCAGAAGTGTCTCAAGATAAAGCAGCAAAACAATATTTATAACAAGTATATTTTTACAAACGTTTATTGAAATGCCTTCATTGCATCATGCAGGATACAAAAATCATTATTAGAAAACCTTTATAACCATACTTAGGAGTAAAATCAAGATACATCAGGGAAAAAAATAATAATATTATAAACCAAAGCAATTTATCTCTGATACTGTTTTAAATCATTAGATTACAAGATGTGATCTGCACAGATGATAACAATTACCTTGCAATAACAGTCCCTTCTTTCATGATTCAAGTTGAAACTGATGTTCATAGTGCTACAGCAACTGTATCACCTGTGTATACCACAATAAATTCAACCCGTTCGTTACAGATACAGGGTTTAAAAGGTATAACAAAAATATTCTGCCAGCATACTTCTATTCGTTCCATCAAAAGCCGTTAACTTTTCAAGGAAAAAAAAAGGCTAATGTGTTTTCCTCTATTACACAAACCACATAGCACGTAAGTTTTGATTACTGAAACAGAAGCTCTTTAAAGTCATGAGAGACTTTCTTGACGTTCAGTTCAATTAAATTTATGTTTTTGCAATATTACTCAAGGACTTGGAAGTGATTTTAAAATGGGAGACTACTGCACCCTCCGTATTTTTGTTGTTTTAGGAATCTCAATCTCTGCTGCTTGAGATTTTCAGGGTTTTTTCATTCATACACTGCTTAGCCTAAACTCTTAGAACTTGCCTCTCTCTTTTTATCCCATTTAACAGCATTATTCTGTGCAGATATGTATTTAAAAAAAAAAATGGGGCTGAAAACTTGACTTCAGAGAATTTATGTAGGTAGAGATTTTGATGCTGGCTTCAAGGGGACCAGTGTTTGAGGGGTTTCAGTAGAGTGTTCCCTTGGCACAGAGTAAGGTTAGAACCATGCTGGGACCTTACTAGTAAAGAAAATTGCTGCAGGCTCTACAATCAGCTGATTCTATTTAACAGAGAAGATTAAAAAGACCCCTCCTCGTGAGGAAGTTACTACATGTGTTTCTGTTTCATATCCTTGGGGAAAAAATGCATCTTTATAAAGCTGTCCTAGATTTTTGTTGAGCTCCATAGATGCAGACTTTAAATATACAGTTGGTGTCACTGAGGGTTTGAACACACAGAATATTGTAACAATTTAATTACATTAAAAGTCATGAAGAGTTCTGGCACTGTCCCCTTAGAGAAAGTTAGGTACAACTAACAATATGAAAACACTATGAAAAGGGAATCGCATAACTCTTTGGCTCTGTCGTAATACTTAACTACTAAGGCAAGAACTGTGTGTACCTTGGGGTTGCTTTTTTGTTTATATTTTTATAAAATTCTTGACTAAAAGTTTTAAAAAGTCACCTAATCATCTATAAATGTCAAATGCTGCATATTAAAATATATGCTTATTACACCTTTTTGTTCCATTACTAGAATTTTTGCATACTGATGAGAACACACACATTTGTAAACCTTTTAGTACGAGTTTATGAACACATTCTCCATATAAGAGAAATTGTAGAAAATTATAATTGAATCAAGATGCTCTAATTAAAATTGCCTTATTATCCATTTTGGAGCACTACAGTTCTCTCAACAGCTTTAGCTCTTTCATTCCTATATAGATCAACTAAAACGAGTAACAACCCCCCCTTTTCAATGCATTTGTAAGCCCCTCTCATTCTGAGGTTTTGGGTGCACATCATAAGGAGGACACTTCACAGAGTATTCACTGGCTGTTCAAGATTTTTACTACATATGGCTAACTTCATATGTTACGTTATTGCAGTATGCCCTGTTGCCCCCTCCTGTTACAACATGAAGTGGGTGTAGCCTTCTGCGCCTGTAACAATAACATCCATCCATATCCTCATGGCTTCTGGTGAAGGAGCAACCATATAGTATATCCGGTCGTGTGTCTTAACACTGAAAGTGAGCAACGGGTTGGGACTCTAAAATAAAACAGAGAGAAGGATATCAGAGGAATGAAATCAAAGCCATTTATTGATACCAAAGTGAAGTTACTTACAGGGAGATTTATGATAGGGCGAAGGAGAAAGATAAAATGTAAAATGCTGTACCACTGCATCCTACATTCCAGTGCTGGAAGCAGAGATGAGTTTAAAGGGTTTGTATCCACCATAAACACTTTTTACATCATGTTTCCAGTAGACTATTACACAGTAGTACAGGGCTCCAAACTGTTTTGTGCCCAAAACTAACTCCTCCACTCTGTCCGGTCATCAAAACCATTCTGCCTTTCTTTAATCCACTTGCCAAGGACATATTCTGCTTGTTCACAGCTCATCTAAATTACAGAGGAGAGGCAGGGGTTGTCATGAGCTGCTGGCACCCATACAACCATCCCTAGATTTGCCAAAGCCACTGATTTCAGTGGTCTCGCCAGTGGGCTAAGAAATTCCTCATAGAAAATCCCAGTTGGTAGGTAGACACTCTTATCTCTGCTTTCATCAGCACAAAAAAAAAAAAAAAACAAAAAACAAAAAACAAAAACCAGTGCTAATCACTCATTTGGCTTCATATTCCTTTACATCCCCTCTGGTTTTTTTTGGTGTGTTTTTTTTTTTTTTTTTTTGTCATTGTTTCTTTTTTTCTAATAACATCAGCTCTCCCTTTGACTTTACAGCAGCTACCATACTTTGGGTACTGCTATATGATACTCAGTTAAAAGAATAATAATAAAGTTTACCTTATATGCATTCTTTAGATGATCATAATAGACTTCTTCAATAGCTTGAAAATATATTACACCTTTTAATTTAGTTTCATGTTTGTCTAAAATGGAAAAAAGAGAATTACTTGAGAACGAAAATGAAGAGTACTCCTAGAAACAAAAACTTCATCTGCATGTATGTTCAGCTGATAATTAACTGGATTAACACTTCTGCCTGTGAAATCCCACAGAAATCCAGAAAGCTGCAACCTTTCTTCCTATTTGGTCGGTTTTGCTGAGAGATGCATTTCCTACTTTAATATGTTTTTTTGTGCACCTGGTTTCCAAGGAAATAAAGCTTTTGCAATTTCCTCATCAATTTGCAAGTCAATCCCTTCAACTGAAGTGTCTAAACATTATGGCCAGTATTAGCCACAGGAGGACAGATGTCTCTGAGCTACATCCAATCTTCCAATTCCATGAAAGCCAGCCAGACTTCACATAGCTCGCAGGCTAAAACCTACAGTTTGCCTTCAATGGAAAACTGTTGTGGTAAGTAAATTTGAAACACGATTTCATAGCAAAAGCTTTACATTAAAACATCATTTGTGCTTGTACTTATTAAAAATAAAAATACTTCTTCCCACTTATAATACTCTCCTTCAGTCTCAAGCTAGTGTTTATTATTTAAATGTGAAGTTAGCAGATTATAGGCAAATTTCTATGAGCTGACACTTGAAAAAGTTTACTGGAGATTAGAAGTTCCTGGGCACCAGCTGCAGCCTCATCATTGTCTGTCTGCACTCTCCTACTGTTGACACCTGCAGTAAAAGCCAAATTAATTAGACCCAGGTTGCGCCTCTTGCGAAAGGGAACTCCCCC